CAGGCAACCCGAACAAACAAAAGTACATTGTGTCAAAACATAGAAAAATAAAACTTTTACAGTATCCTACGCTGTAGGTAACCTTTCTCAAGACTTCAACCAACGTGGCTGATATTGGGAAGCCTTATAGGTTTCTATAGTGTTTCAATTCTGGCACATCTTTCATTTCATGATAGCTGTTTGCTTATGGATTCAAGAGAGGCACGATCTAGCGTGGGACCGAATGAACGAGCCATACAGCCGTATATATTTTTGTGTTGTCTATGTTTGTTTTCCAGATCGAAAAGCTCTGCAGGAGGGTGGGTTGTTGGCGGGTTGGTGTGCTTTTCTCCATCTTTCCTATCGAACGTCTTTCGTCCTGTTCTCTCCTCCAGCTTTTTAATTTTTGTTACTCTTCTTGTAACACCTGTAATCTTCGGCACTTATGACCTTATTGCGTTGCGTGTGCCGTAAACCTCTTTCTATTTTCTAAATTCAGCAGACGTTATTGCGCAAGAGGAGATGAGTTTTTTTAGGGGGGGGGAGGAGGGGGGTTGTGGTTGCTGAATGTCTGGTTTTAGCCGTACACCTAAGCTAAGATCGCTAAAGTGGTTAGAAGACTATGTACGAGAAAGTGACCCCATGTCCCCATGTAGAGGCGACCGTGCGAAATGTTCACCCGTGCGTGTACACGGTCGATGGTTGGGGGGGGGGGGGACACTCCGACAGACGACAAAGTGCAACATGAAGTTTATCGGACTCTTCCATCCAACCATTGATATATGCTTCATGTATGCATGTTATATTTTTTTTAAATGGTGAAATGGTATGGATTTAACGCCCCTATCAACACTATTAGGTTATTTAAGAGGCGGGCTCCCTAGTTTAACGTCCATCTCCGAAAGGACCAAGCCAAATGGGACATTCGTGTGAAGTGTCTTTCCCAAGGACACACCATCGGACGTATATTTCATTAGAAAATAATTTCATTTATATTATAGACTATATGAAAGTGTGTATCTATGCCAAGCATATATAATAAATCGACTGATACTGATATAAAAACATTATAAAGGCTTTTTTCATAATTTAAAATGCATACTGTGTATTTGCTTGTGTATACATGTATTTCCATAATATATTATGTTTTTATGTGTTCTTGTTTGTCGTGTATGTACATGTGAGTATACGTGTGTGTGTGTGTGTGTGTGTGTGTGTGTGTGTGTGT